ATGACAACCCGTGAATCGCAATCCTGAGCATTGCACAAAGTAATGGCTAGGATAGGTTTAGCATTTGGCATTGTTCAATGGTGCCTCGATGCTCATCATATGTTGCCTTATGATAAACAGGTAGACTCTCGTCGAATTAGAGGTCCTAAAAGGCAGTGGCACCAAGTAGGCATTATTATATATTTGGAGTTGCCCTTGTAACAAATCGACTCACAACATCCAAAATCCAGGCATTATGAAAGTGATAGCAGAAGATTCAGTACCTTGACAACGCGAAACGTGACAGCCAATGTGTAATACGATAGTGGTTTATCCCTCGGTTTTGGTGAGGCGCCACTTTTGTACTTTGAATTAGCCCCCTTGTACCTCTCTGGGTGGGGCTGGTCTTTTGGGCCATGCCAATAGCCCAGACACCTTCTCCGTGCTGAATATATATATTCTGCCCGAGTATTGTGTCTTCTTTCGTCTCCAGGGCGTCTCGGGAAGCTAAACTGGTGGCAGCGGAAAGCGAACTCGATCTTGAAAGACATGTATCCTGATTTTCCACTTCTGCGTGATAAGCCTTAGTGGAGCGGAAGAAGTACATATGCTACGGATGGGAGAATGGTGATGACCCCTAACAGAAGGGTTGATGTTGACGTCTACCTTCGGCATCTCTCCCAGTCCCGTGTTCTGCGGAAAAGCTATTAACAACCGAAGCGACACTAGCCGTGAACTATCAAAAAGTTTCGTTACAGATTTCCCCTACCGTCCCCCATGGACCTGTTTTAAATCTTGTATTCCCTTATTCAAATCTACTTCTAGGCCAGTGTTCCTACATCCAGCTATGGACACACATGATGGCCGACGCAATTCCCCATTCTGAATCAAATCCCTAAACCGGACGAAACTCCAGATCCAGTCAAGCTGCCAAGAGGGATCAGTGACGTTGAGGTCAAGTATCCCCTCAGTTGCGCGCTAATTTGGTGACTGGCACGGTTGGCTCGTGGGTGTTTCTTTACTGCACCGACTACGTTGTAATGGCTGACGCGGGAGGTTGACCTGCGGGAGCGCCGGGGACGACGCTCAGAAGAGGAGGGAGGCTATGTAATACGATAGTGGTTTATCCCTCGGTTTTGGTGAGGCGCCACTTTTGTACTTTGAATTAGCCCCCTTGTACCTCTCTGGGTGGGCTGGCCTTTTGGGCCATGCCAATAGCCCAGACACCTTCTCCATGCTGAATACATATATTCTGCCCGAGTATTGTGTCTTCTTTCGTCTTCAGGGAGTCTCAGGACGCTACAAATTACCTATAAAACGACTTTAAAAAAGCTGACTTTAGGAGCTGTGGTAATTTCTTACAGATAAAATCAGACATGAAGTTTGCATGTGTTTTATATTTAATGAGGCAAAAATGATGCCTACACACTCCGACACATACTCTCATCCATGCAAATGCATACGTGAATTAGATAAAAAGGACTTCGAAGAAATTTTTTATAATTTGGGACGGATGTAATAGTTGTACAGCCTAGTAATATTTATACAAATGGTACGAAGATTCGCCCTCTTTAATGCCTTTCACCAACTTTTCTTTCCGACATTTTATCTACGTGTGCTTTTCCAATAGTGCCTCCCAAGGCCACCATGTGCGCTGATGATTAACTGACCCACTGGCTCATCTCCTTTGGCGTTGATGGATTTGTACAGTTTTAAATCGGTAATGGTACTGCCAAATAATGGCAATCAAGCTTTTTTCGAAGATTAGTGTCTCTATCCTTTCGTGGATGTGAATAAAGAAGATAGATTGTCTACGTGGCTGTGCACGTTCCTTTTGGTTGGCGTAGAGTTTGTAGTGAATACGCCAAAAGGACCGGAATCCACTATTTTACAGTGCATAAGTAAGATGCGTCCAAAGTCAACGGTGAGTTACGGTGTCTTTGTTTCCATTATCTGTTTGTGCGTGCATTTATAAGGGTTTTTAATTGCCTATGTAGGTTTTGAGGGCACCACTTTTTTTCATTTTTGAGGGTTACGGTGTTTGGTTATGTGTTCATATCCTCAAAAAGTGGTTGACCATGCCGAACACAAGTGACTCGCACGCCTAATTTGAACTGCTTTAGAATAAATATACCTTCAGTAGGAATTGGGGTAGGCGTCTATGCCCTGGTAACCACCTAATGGGCATTACTCGTCCTTCGGGAGTAGAACACTGCGAGTGCTAATGTGTTGCATCTGGAGAATTTGGGGGTGCTTACGAAAGTTGTATTCTCAATCAACAGAATTCAACGTTTGGAATGGATCATTCTTGTGGCAGAACGCACAATCGCAGCCGCTGCCTGGGATGCTGGAAATGCTTGTCCACTGCTTACTTTTACTCTCGCGTTAGTTCACCTAGCCAATGGAGTTACTGTCCCGCCTGTGTGATTGTATTTGTACTCATAATTCTGGCCCTCTTCCTAACTGAAGTATTACTGCAGAGAAGCGGCTTCCACATTCCTCATTGTACCTTTTTGTTCATCAAGTCTCACTTATATGTGACACCTGTTCCATAGCAACTTATGATAACTGCGACTGATAAAAAATATGGTTCGCATAAAGACTGTTTACATTTAAAGCACTGAAGTTGATAAAGGACAATTGCATGTTGTGGTTTTCGAGCAGGAATTAAACCAGCTTGAATAACTAACCTCAGTTGGTGTGATTAGTTAAACAGTGCCATGACTGGGGTGTCGTTAAGAATCTTCTATCAGATGGACCGGCAGATCTTAGTGGCGAACGTGTTGAGCCGTTCTATTGCAGCTGCTATCTTGAGTGTCGCCTTGGGCTTCCTTTGGTGAGGATTTGCTGGAGGACAGTTCTTCTTCGCTGAGCTGTTCTTTTATTTGACCTTCCTACCAAGGGTGGCCTGTCGAAAATGCACGTATGGAGAGTACTGAACGCATTTGATGGAATGTGTCGAACCCAACTTGGCAATATTAGACTCCTCGTCTTCCCAAATGTTTAATTGTGCTAGCTTAATTTGACACCAAGTTCTTTTGTCGCTGTGCCTCGTATTCCCGCAACCTGTCGCCTCCTGCATCATCATAGGATAGGTCAGGGCGAGCTTTGTTTCTTTGCTTTTTATTTTACTTTATCTCATGAAATTTGTCTTCAGAATTTCACACGAATAGTTCAATCCGAGTGCGAAGTGGGGAGAAGGGCAAGTATAGGGACTTCAATAAAAGGGTTCCCATACTACTTGTTTAGAGATCCTGCGCAATGTCTTCCCTAAGTACGTCTTCAACATTGACAAATAAATTGATGGACCCCTGGTCTACTATTTTGGAGGCGGGAGTGCGGCGATTTTAGAGGTGGCGTCGCAATAATGTGCATAGGTCTCTTTGGGTAAAGACTGTCTTTTTAAGACCCATCCCTTCAATGTTTCATCAATTGTGGTTGTAGACTTTGACGTTCTTAGGCTGGACAAAATCTTCATTTCTACCACTGCCGTACCCGCTTGATTGCTTCCAATTTGGTTTTCAGGTAGAAGCACACGAGGCGGAAATTGTTGGGGGAGGGGGAATTGTGGAGGGCTAGTATGTAGTTCTTCATTAGATCAAATTTTAAAGGCGAGATTAATTTCCATTGACCTTGCAGTAGTTGCTGAATTCGGAACTTTGCATTGTAAATGTCTTTTTTTCAATTGTATTTGAAGATATATTGTTAGGGGTAGCGTTGTGCGTTTGTGATGTAGCTTTCCCTATGAAACAATGTGGTCTCTAGTGACCGAAAAATAACAATTTTCTTAGTCGCATTACCTCAAAGACATGCCAACACATAGGTGTTCTCATTTTGGAGGTAGTAGTTTCTTTTGCGATTGCTTTTATCCTTTAAACCGGAATGAATGTGGCTGCATTTACTCAGACTAATAGAAAGTTAGTTCTCATCAAACGAGTGCCCTGTGGCCTAAATCTAAAAACCGTAGTAATGAAGTGTAATTTTAATGTGTTATTAGCAATTAGCGAACTATCTCTAAAATCCTTTTCGGATGAAGGTTCTTGTGGCGTTACGCAGTTGCTTTTCTTTGCAGCTAAATGATTCGATTATGAGGGAACGCGATCTAAATTCGCTGTTAAGTAGCGGAGGTCTTCGAAGGGGATAGAGTTTGCTGCTGGTAACATTGCGAGATGGATTTCATCACGTGTCTGCTCATTTAGGGTGCTTGATGTTTCCGCATTTCATTCTTCTCTCAAATCGGGGGGACATTTACCGTCAAAATCCGATTGCGTGCAGTGTAGTTATTTTGAGTTATTTTGACTGTATTGCTGCCGATTCTTCTGGAACACCTGTTCACCCATCCCGCAGATGCCTTAATCCTTCTTTCAAGTTACAGTATAAAGTTTGATGGCACTTTCGTGAAGAAAAGACACAAAGTAGTGAATCGGGTAGCGACTAAATTAAAAAGTTTTTCAACGTCTACATTATTGGACTGGTAGCAGGGAAGTGAGCTATCCTGATTTACTTCTAACTCCCGAATTATCCGGTAATACTTAGCCCGATAATTTGACATTTTGATAGTGTTATCCTTCACACTATTGGCGTCTGTTTAATTTCGCTGCCACCGTGGTCCAAATTTTCAAATGCAAGAAATTATTGACTTCTCTGCAAAGTAATACATTTGATACTAAACTTCATGACTGGCCTGGTTTTCAAATGCTTTAAGCATAAATAAGCTCCTAAGTAAAAATTCCTTACAGTGGGATGCTGCTTCAAACTGGCGAAAACTAGAGTGATAGAAGTCGCATTTTAAGAAAAAAGCTTTGTGAAGACAAGTTTTATTTTTTTGCAATGGTTTGCCCAATTAGAAGAATTATAAATCGGTAAGGACACGTTAAAGTTTGAGGGGGACAAGATCAAGAATGCCTATCTATTTCTGCTTAAGTCTGTCAATATATCTCTTCATTCAGGGCGGAAAACATTTGTATCTCTGTTCTGAACGCCCTGCATTCACGACTACATATATTATCACATTCTTCTAGTTTTCTTCACAGATGTTCGCTATGACAAAATATGAAGAGGTAGGGGGCAGAGACCAGATGTTACCATGGTGATGAAAGCTTTTATCCATTCAATTCTTGATAAAGCAGACTTCATGTTAGGGTGTAGCCGGATCAGTACAAAATCCAACGGTCTATACAACAAACATTGGTCAAGCTACTCAACCAATCAGAGTGGGAACCGTAGTACTAGAGAATTAAAATTTTAGAGACGCCTTTCCAATTTTGTGCACTGCTGGTATGGTGATAATGCAGCAAGTCCACATTAATCAGAAAATAATGTTAAGTGAATAAAACAATGAAAAATCTAAATGCATTATAGAACTTTATAGGTTTGGGGTATCGAGATTGTCAGCTAAGATAGGATACGTGTGGAAGGGAATTCTTAGACGGAGGGAATAAGTACCATATACCTACTTGTACATTTGAGTACCCATCCGGCTCCCTGTGCATCCATTTAAACCATTCAAATAAATACAGCTTGTAGAGGCAGGAGTAGCATCATCTACAGTTTTCCATTAATTAAAGTTGCTATCTAACTATGCCTAATGATAAAGATGTAAAGCACTTATTACTGATATAAACTCAGTCGGATGTTGATGCAGATATTTGCTTAAAAAATTGCAACTGTTTTCATGAACAGAAAATTTGATGCTGAACTCGCAGTCTTACCTTTAACTTCTTATTTGCCAATTGGTCCTTTGTTAGCGCAAATGAAGGCATGAGAGTGATATTGCTTAGAAATAATGTCGCTTTGCCTTAGCACCTACATGAGAGGACCACCACTGCCATTCCTTCACCTGCCCACTTACTGACAAATGGATTATGTTAAGACTCTACCTTTGACAATTTAGGGTATCAAATACTAGTCTGCAAAATAAGCACATGTATGGCAATTGCTTACCTGACTTGCACGCACCTCAATATCCTTAATTTAGTCAAACTACCGCTAAGAATGATTGCAAATAAAAGGTAGGGAAAAGAGAATTACCTACAATTTTGGCAAATTCTGCAAGAGATATCTGTGTTTCAAAAGTACGTGCTTAGGTAACGTCTTCAAACTTCTTAAAGGTGTCATCAAAAGACTGCAAGGTGGACATGGTGTTGGCGCTTATCTTTGATCGTTCCGGAGGTGTACAGAAGGAACTGTCAGTTCTGCCGGGACCTTGAAGATTGGTAGGAATTAATAAGGCTTACCTAATTCGCACCGGAGCAGTTAAAGTTGGCTGCTTCTGTAAATGTCGTCGAGCATTCTTCATTATTCTCAGACACTTTATAACTCGTGTTGACAACATCCACTTCTTTCCTTACCAAAATTGGCAAAATTGGACAGGCTTTAAATATGAAAAAATAATGTATTAGGTAGAGATTGGCTTTGTGTGTACCCGAAGCTCCTTTTGTTAATCTGCCTCCAAACAGAAGCAATATTAATCTCGCCAAACCATCATTTGACTTGTTTTGGAAAGGTTACAAAATTATCTCGCTAGCTAAATAAGTAAAAACATTGACTTTGCCAAAGTAGAGAGCCTAATCGCAAGACCAGCATGAGCCACCACATGCGGATGTTTCAAACAACTATTTGATCAACCAGGAATATAGTTAGAAAAACAATTAGAAGGATTGTTAAATAACGGGTGCGTAGCTTTATCCTGAGCGAGCGCAAGTGACTGACTCGCAACTCGGTGTAAGTCGGCTGATCCGCTATCTGAAAATCACCCGACTATAGCAGAAACCTAATGTGTTTTTTTTTGAAGAAATTGTGTTTGTATACCAAAAACATGCAAATCTTAGCGAAAAACATCAATTACACTCAGAAAATAATGAAATGTATCAGTAAAAGTGTTTACTGTGTTAAAGAAAAACACATTCAGGGGATTTGTGCGGCAGAGAATTGGAACGATAGCTGGATACATAGGTTTGTATACAAAGACGTAAAGGTAGTGAGGGTGGTTTGGCAAGTCCGCCAAGGGAGGATTTCTAAAACACTGGACAGACAAGGAGCAGAATGACGTCCAATGTTTCCACTCGCCCTGATCTTGTTGGGGAATAAAATAGGCCCACGTTGAGCGCCACTGGTATGAAGTTTATCTAACCTTCGCATAAATTGGAACTTGGAATATGCATGTATTAGTGTTTGACTGTAAACTACAAATTAATGGATAAATGTTGCATGTGTATCATGCTATTAACTGAATACATGAAGTGATTAAATTAGTTAAAAGTACAGTCCTCGGAGTAAATTCTTACTCGCTACTGCCTCGGAGCGCATAAAGCATCATCAAGATTGCAGTGAGTTAATTCTCTTCAACTCCAGTGTTGCACAAGCGCAAATACGTGTAAGCACACGCAGAAACACAATTTGACTTCCAAGGTACTAACTGGCCTGAGATAATAGGAGATGGAGCTGCTTTCCTTTACGTCTAGCCTTTGCTATTCCTTTGCCAGGAGTGTTTAAAAATGTGGATCCAAATGTCCGAAATGCTGGAAAAAAGAGGCCAGAAGAAAGTAGGGCAATGGAACATGGCGTGGGGAAAGTTTAGAAAAAAATGTTGACGATGATATAAAGGCAAAAGATAAGTAAATATGAACAGAAGAGATGAGGTAACAAGCTTGGATCTGCATAGTCACGGCTCTAAGTGTTGTGTCAAGCGAAACCCTGATATGTAATTTTTAAGGGTGTAAAGGAGGAGGATGATGACAAGAACTGCGACATCAATATCCACAATTTGCTGTACTAAGTGTATGTAAATGCAGGCTTATTCTCCAACGGCCTGAATCATAAGCTCCAACATAACCCGACAAATGATAGTTTCGTACACAATACTGCAGTAAGTTGACGTATCACAATTGAAAATCTACCAATTCGAGCAATTAAGTCCAGACCGCTGTGCATCCCTGCCACCGATAAGTCAGTCAATTGCCTGGTTTTGGAGGGCGCAAAGGTTTTGGTCACGCAAACGGGCACCAATTGGAGAAAAGGCAGTGAGCAAGCCTTCGATTTCTGAAATAATCTGTGGTTGAGTCTTAAGAGCCTCCATTTTTGTGGCGAATTGTTTAGGCATTTCAGAAATCGCCTTTTAGCTCACTCCGTCCTTCTTCGCTGAAATCATGTTCAATGTGCACTCACATCGGGTTTAAAGTCAGGCATTAAGTATAGCAGTCGTTTTCGCGATAAAACTGGCATCTGTTTTCGTAGAAAAGAACTGAAAACGCAGTTAAGAGAGGTGCTATTTACGTACTTCAAGCGGACGAAGGCAATCGAAGTGGCATACAAAGCATGAAATATAAGTCAGTTACTAAAGTAGTCACCTGCTCTCTGCTACATGCTTTGTAGAGCAGAGGCCTTCAATCTCTTTTATGGTTGGCACGTGTATTTGCTGCCAGACATAGGCAGCTGATTTTCAAACTGTAAACCAGTAGATACACTAATTCGCTAACTTTGCCATTTGCGCTCTTGTCTTCCAACTCGCGGTCAAGATGAACATCTTTGCTTTTTTACCCGCCGATTTCCTACTAATTGTCATAATAATAATTTTGCTTAAATGCTTCTTCGCGTTACTCTACCGCATTTTTTGTATGGTGATCTTATTTATTCAGGGATTCCAATTAGATCGCCGAAAGAGAAGATGCCATGGAGGTATTCAAACTGATAATTTTCTTAAGAAAGAGAAGGCCATAGATGCATCTGAGGCAGCCCATACAAAATGTTCAAGCAAAAGTAAGCAAATTTTTACTTTCCTTCATCATTTACTTCTCTTTGCACTTTCATTTACTTTAAATTGCACATATTTCACATATTCATCATTTACTGTACTTTCCGAATAAGTGACGCCTAGTTTTAAGCATTGTTATTGAGGTCAAGCGATTAATCTTTGTCGAATTTTGCGCTGACTAGCTTCTTCTGCTTTGTGCAAGTAGTACTACTAGCCGACACCTTCATATACTTACTTGACTCTGCTTTTACTTACAGTGGTTCCCGCTTTTGCTGGCAATGCTAGACGTGCAACATGTCCTCATTCATTAGTAAGATGCCATTACCTTTCTCCATGACCGCCTTTAAATCCGTATTATCTCATTCAAGGCAGCAAATTCTTAGTGATATTTTTGATATTTTCTAATTTGTAGACACCCCAGGGCAGAAATGTTTACAAACCGCTCTCCTTCTGAGTGCCCTCTCCTCCCCTATACATTTTAATTCAAATAAATTCTTAGTGGCTCTCCTTGTGATTATGTCAACTGTGGCCTAAAACGGAGGAAACCGTGAGCATAGGGAAAGCGCCGTAAATACCGATATCGTTGTCTCCTTGGAAATTCATTTACTGGCAATCAGGCCTAGAAGTAGAACAATTAAGGAATGGGATCTCAGTCGATCGGCTGGAGACATAAAAGGTAAAGTCGCAATGTTCATGGACCCAAATCGAGTGCCGCAATTTCGAAATGCATCTGATTAAAACCACCAATGGTTGTGGGTCGAATTTTAAATGCCGATACTTAAAACAGCCAATTCCTCCATTAATTGCTTAGCTTCTTCAAGTTGACTTGTTCTATGGTTTTGTAGCACACACTCCAGCCTATTGCATCTTAATTTGGACTGATCTCCTGTAATTCCATTTTAACCGACCATTTGCGTTTCAATTCCCTACTGATGGTTAGTGTTGATTTACACCCCCTCCACTCTCCTTTGAAAACAGGAGTATCCCCAGAATTGGGCACTCGATTACTAAGAGCGAGGATGTTTCAGGACAGTCGACCATCTTTCGAGAATTCTAGGCGTAGACACGAAGAACGCTTTGGGATTTGTATGCGGAGCAGAACGTTTATCTCACTGTCTACTACTCTACCGAATCAAACACTAGGTGGTGTTTGCTCCAATGCCGTTAATTCTCACCAGTGAAAGTTTATAAAAAGGTTAAGAACACCTGACTATGAGAAGGATTAGCACTAAGTAAACCCGTGCTGAGGTGTCTGCGCTTAATCCTTGTGTGATCAATGAGAGGGTACTTGAGGGAGCCATCCCAGCAGTCAGAAAGATGTATGGGTAGAGGCCGAGACGACATTATTAACGGCACGACAGTATGGTGATTTTATTCCTCCCGATGCTTTGTTTCTCGGAATTGTTGGTGAGTAGGTGGGTATAACTAACTTGCAGTGAAGAAGAAGTAAGAAATCTTTCTCAAAGCCATCGTTCGATCGAGAGAAGCAGGTTGTGATGGCTGAAGTTAAGAGATTGAAAAGTAGAGGTTAGTGATTTGAAATGACAACCCTGGAGAGCTCAAGCTGACTTGCTAGCGGCGGTAGACCGTATTATAACTAATAAGTTAGAAGTATTGCATGTTAGATATGCAAAACAGTCTCATTCAGGGTCCTGAGCATCGGCTTGGCTTGTTTTACAAAATTGTATATTTCTAGTGTGGTTCGGTAAATATTGGACTTCTTTTCATGCCGACGTTGGCCTTTGGGCAGACTAGCTGAGGAAAGAAGGTGAATTCTAAAGGTGGTTAGCTGAATTCGTAAAATGTGGCATTTTCTAGACACAAAAGGGGTCTCAAATTCATGCATATAGAATGGCTTTTGTGAAGATTTGGGAGTCAAAACATTTATTCGGGCCTTCAAAAATAAGTTAACCATAGCTGGGGGGAATGGAGATAAGGCTAACGCGTTGGTGCTCTCTTGGTGCTACTTCCTTTAGATGATTAGCAAATTGTAAGACTATTATCAGAACACACTGACGTGTCTCCAAATAACTGTAAAGACTAGGGCCTCCCAAAAACAAGTATTGCATATAGAGTAGAGGAGAGAGAGGCGGCAGAATCCACTTTATGATACAGGGATCCAAAAATTGATTGGCTAAGGAGGTAACTACATTTGTTTGCCGTAAGCAGGCCCGATTGAATGATGAAGTTGTGCAAAGTCGGGTTTCCCGCAGGCACCAAAAGTGGTTCTTCATTGTTGGGTGCCATTTATGGAGTGAAAAAAATTAAAAAAATCAATAAATTCTTTCCTCAGTGTGTGACAAAGTAACTGTTACTACAGTTGTCAACTGAAAAAATGACATAACTAGTTTCTCTCCTCGCACATCAAAAGCCTCCTAACTAATGTTAAAAATATAAGCACTGTTTACTCGATCATTCCGTAATTCATCTAGTAGTTGTCCCGCCATCCTTTATGCATCCATCTATCAAACCATTCCTGTGCCAAATGTTTAACCTCCTTAAAGTTCTAACGCAGCTGATCAGCAAAAAATATCACACTGGCTACTTTTGAAAGCTTATGAATAAATTGCTTTTGGCCTCACTGTGTGCAGACACAGGAATCATCCGCTTGGACTGCAATCTTGTCATGTGCATCCTAGGCATCCTTCTTTGACAAAATGCGTTTTCGCTCAAGACGGAAGCATGACTCGATGCTGTGACATAGTTTTGCCAAAAGAAAGAGCCTGAGTTAGCAAAAATGAAAGAAATACGAATCACTAAAGCGTTTGTTGCATTTGATGGCTACAAATTCATTGGTACTGCTCCGCTAGTAAAGAGCTCTGGTACCAAATTTAACCACGTTCCTTGAAGTTAATAGTATCACCCAGTAAGACGTACTGGCCGCGGTACCCATTGACACCTGGTTAGAGGAGACATTAGCTGCAAAACATTTTGGTTAGGTAGAAGAGGGGAGAGAGTGTGAGACTATGGGATAATTGTCGTATAATGTAGACTTTTGTGGATGTCTGACTGTGGAGCTATCCTACGCTTTCACATTCGGCTTCACCTTTGCCATCGCCTTCACCTTCACTTACATAGTTTGCTTCCAGTGTCTACTTATCTGTCAGATTTATGGGTTCTACTTGTCGTCTCTCACTTGTTGTCATTTGCTTGTGGTGTTAGTGGGATGGAATGTCTGAGTAACTGTTGCCGCGAACCGCAACCCATGGACTGCAGAGAGCCCGTGATAAATCGTCCTAGTCTTCCGTGGCCACTTTTAAGTTGCTGAGTGTCTCATGACATTATTTGTTTAGGTGCGACTCCCACAGGTGTAGAAAGTCAGGTTCGCAGTCTATTTTATCGAGTGCTGTTTCCATTGCATTACACTGTTTGACAGATCTCTTTGTCTTCTGGCTGCAGAGGTAACTTTGGATCCTAAAGACACAAAAGCCGAATTACCACTACTTAGTGTAAGCGTTTATTTCTCACTACGGTGGGTTGCCCTGTCTAAATTTTCTCAATATTGCCCTCTGATTGGAATGCCTCTTCGGAATTTAAGCATCTCTCTCTTTCCACCACTAGGTCGCCACTTTAATCTGGACGAAGGAAGGAGAGATGTAATAAAATGAAGTGTGTGGGTGGGTGTATGATGGAGTGTTTATGAAGGGAATGAAACGACAATTAATAAACAAACAAGTGATCAAAGTTGGCTTTACTTGGCCCAGAATGGAACTGTCTACCTGGTAAACCATAAGATCAGTTTTGAAGATGAAATGAAAGCACATGGACATTCACACACACGCTCACATGTGCACACACGTACTTACCAGTTTCCGTAAAACACCAATTAATTATACGGTCCAGAAAGACAAAGAAGGACATGAGCAATGCCACATAAACAAGGACGGGTAGATAGAAGAATGTTGACAGTGACAAGTGTGTGGGTAGACTAAAAAGAAAGGTGGTCATTCTTACTCGTTATCATACGGCACGAAGTTGACGGACTCTAGAAGGAAACAAAAAGAATTGCGCGGTAAGGCTGTCGGGTAGGATTTCGACCTAACTAAGAACAGCGAAGCAGGAAATAGGCGCAATGTGCTCGCCTTTGCTCTCTAGGGAATACCTGGAAGAGGAGCAGGTGAAGGTAGAACTGAGATGAAGTGGAATGAGACAAACTGAAGTAACAGAAAGAAGGGACGATGCAAAGGGACAAGCTGAGCTAATCTAGAGTAAGATATGACAATTAAACAAAGTGAGGTTTGGTCGAATCTGATCTGCGCATAGTCTTGTCTAGGGCATGAATCTCCAAAGCATTAAACCACGTTATGATGGAAGACGAAGGGGAGATGGTAGAGACTCACTGAGATTGGCGGAAATGGATGTGGGTTTGAAAAGTTGAAGACGTGACAAGCATGAGGTAGCCAGAGCAGTGAGCTGTCCTGATGTCACTAAAGTGCAGAAAACGAAGAAAAGTAGAACAAATGAACTGTAGCTCAAAGATGAATAGAGCATACATGGTGGGACGTAATGCAAGATGTAATTCTAGAAAGCGTAGCGAATGGTGGAAGAGGAAGGAGACACTCACCGAAGAAGCGTTAAAGTGAGGCACACGAGAGTGGAGAAGATACGACTACTCGTGCTCTCTAGTTTCGAAAGCGTCAACAGGCCTGGTCACTACGTTTGTACATTAGGCCCTAATATCTGCGAGAGAGAAGAAAACAGTCTGGTCTTATGTAACCTTAAATCGTACTGAGTCGAAGTGTCGTGACAATTGCGACAATGATGGGATTGACTTGCATGGAAGAGTATGAGGGCATCTCTGTGGATGAGGCCAGCATGATAGAACAGGTAAGCCCACTGTCATAGTCTAGCACAGGCATCCTGTCTAGTGTGTCAACTCAAGCCTAGTTTAGCGCAGTATACTTCAGTGTTTCTTAAGTGGAATGGGTAACCGATAGGGATGGTAAGCACATCATAATTATTTCCCTAGGTCTGTTTTTACCACTTCTGATCTACTTGGGCTACGGTGGTTTTAAATGTGAGCAAGGAATGCATAAAAGACGAGCGTGACGTCACAGGTACGGCATAATTTATGAGTGGTTTCTACGGAATTGGCCACTCATGGCTAAAGGT